TTCCTGAGGCCAGGAATGTCTGGCTGGTGGTTATTGCACTGAATTCCACAATGCCTACTGTGTGATTCGAGTCCCAGACCCAGAAGCTTGAAAATCACTCTGGGCACATGCATGTGTGTGCCCCAAATCCCAGGAGAATGGAGAAGGGGCTATGGGCTTTGGGACTATGGACTGGCCCCCCAGGAGGTGATCTCTCACTTTCTCTCTCTCTTGGGCAAGTGTATACATCCTATAGCAAAACTTTTTTTAAAAGTAACTTTAGGAACAAATTATTTAATTTTATTTATTATTATTATTATTATTTTTAATTTGCTATAGGGCACATGTATTCACCAGAGAGAGAGAAAGAGAGAGAGATAAAGAAAGTGGGAAAGCAAGCCACCAGGTCTGGGACTCAAACAGTGGTCAGCCATGTGTGAGTCCAGCACCTTAAGCACCATGCCTGCCACCTGCTGACCCCTCCTATAGCAAAACTAAAAAAATTTAAATAGAAATGATAAAAATTGGGGCTGGCGGGCAGCGTGGTGGTTAAGGGCACTTGACTCCCACATGGCTGACCATGGTTTGAGTCCCAGACCTGGTGACTTGCTTTCTCACTTTTCCTCTCACTCTTTCACTCTGTCCTTCTCTCACTCTGTCCCTCTCTGGTCAAACCAAAAATACATAAATAAATAAAGTTAGATATAATAATGATTTTTTAAAATAAAAATTCTAAACTAATTGATTAATGTTTTTAAAAGACATTCCTGGGGCTAGCTGGTAGCATAGTGGATAAGGCAGCTAAACCCCACATGGCCGAATGGATGGTTCAAGTCCCAGATCTGGTGGCCTGTGAAGTAATCCCAAGAGAAGAAAGGTGGGTAAAGGATTGCCCAGTGACTGTTCGCACTGGGAGTGCTTTCTGCCCAACCCCATCTCTCTGCAGAGAGCACAGGTCTTACGGCAAACTTTAAAGAACACGTTGCTGGGGGGGCCAGCTCTGTGCTGTAGCAGTAATACACCTCTCGAGAGATGTTAGGTCCCACAAGGTAACTAGTTCAAATCCCTAGTCCGGTCAGCCTGAAACAGGCTGGGCATGTGGGCAGGGCCCAGGTCTGATGGTATGCAGAGCCTCCAGGGTGGTCAGAGCCTGTGGAGACAGCACTCTACCCCGCCCTGTCTGTGAGCGCACATTCGCTATTATGAGTGAAGAAATACTTTACAAAGACATTACTAGGACACTGGTGAAGCTGGACAGGGCTGGGTACTCGACAAAAACATCGCGTGGTATTCAGTTTCTAAAACCTGGCGAGTGTGCTGTGGCCCTGTAAGAATGCCCTTAGCCCTGGCACACAGCACGCCGAGGTACTCGAGGGAAGTCATGGCACCTGCAGCCTGCTCGCACGGTGTGGGGAGAAGCCACCCGTGTGTGCTAGAACTGGGAAAGCAAGTCTTCCAGGTGAAGGGGACGAGCTGTGTTGTCTTCCTGCAGGTCTCAGAAGAGCAGGAGTAAGCAACAGACCACACGGCCTCACAGACACAACCTGCGTGCCTTCCGCGAGAGGGGCCCGCCCTGCACGACTGAGGGCAATCTCTGGAACTGTGCCCATGCACACCTGCCCAACTGGCTTCCGGACGGATGACCTGAGAGTGCAGCCGCTGTCAGACCGAGGCAAGGCCTGGCTCCCTCCACGTCAGCAGCGGTGTCAGTAGCGGTCAGACCAGAGGTCACGCAGGCCGACCCTCGTGCTAAAGCAGAGAAATCCCGGGCAGGAGACTGACATGTCCCCAGGCGCAAACAAGCAGAGCCAGGGTGGCAGGAAGAAGGGCCACACTTTCAAGTAACCGTGCACTTCAGTTAATGAACATCCTCGGTTAACTTATCCAAAGTAAGCTGAGTTGCCCCCCCTTCTCCTTACACAGGGAACACCTGGGCCAGGAAAGCAGAGCCCCACCCACTGGGACGCTGAGGATACGACATATACCGGAAGCTGGCAGGCGAGTTTCTGTACACTTTTGGTTCCAACTCACTTGAAAAACAAACTAACACTTGGGCCAGCAGGTGGCGTGGTGGTTAAGGAGCTGGACACTCCCAAATGGCCAAACTCGGTTTGAGTCCTGGACCTGGTGGCTTGCTTTCTCACATTCCCTCTCTCTGTCCAAGTTAAAAATAATAATAAATACAATTAAATAAATAATTATTTTTTAAAATACCCTGTGTGTATCTCCTGGTTAAAAGCTCTCAGAGCCATCTAGTCACTTAGTCCCCCACTCTCCGAGGGTCCCCAGTCCAGGATGCATTCCTAGCAATCGCACGTAGGTGCTGGGCTGGAGCCAGGGTCCAGGGAGCTTGATGCACGTGCCAGAGTGTGGTCTGCCTTTTGGGCCCAGCAGCTTGAAAACCACGCCAGGTTTGTGTGCCCCAAATCCCAGCAGGACGGAGAGACGGGGAAGGGAGAAGGTGCGACCATGCCCCACTGCGGGGTGCCTTCTCCCCTCCTTTGCTCTCTCCCTGGTGAGTGTCTGGGAAATAAAAACAAACAGCTAAAATACACGAAGACACAAACTACCCTGAGGGAGAGGCCACAGGATGCCCGCAGAGGGAGTGCTGGCCCGCAGGGCAGTCAGGCCAGGGCCTACCGGGTCAGTGTGCTTCCGATCTGGTGCCGGATGGCGATCCACTCCTCCTTGCTTTTACGGGGCCAAGAACCGAGGACTGGGTCTGGTTCGCTGGGCCTGTGGTTCAGCTTCATGGCCAGGGTGTCTTTCCTCTTCACCTTACTGGCCAGAGCACCTGTGCGCAGGGGACAGGGAGTGAGTCACGTCAGAGCTTGGGATCTGAGCCAAAGGCTTCCCCTCATCTGGAGCCTCGCTGGGGTGAGCCTGAACAGTGGGACCCCCAGTTCCCACCTGGCCGCCTGCGATCCAGCCCAACACCAGAAGAGGGTCAGAGGAAGACAGTGGAAACGCTGAGCCCGATGGACTCGGCTGGGCAGAGGGCACCTGTCCCTCCGGGCCCTCCACACTCTCTCCTCAGGAAGCTGGAGGAGGTGGAGTTTAAATGGCTGGCCTCTGCCTTACAGCCTGGAGGCTTCCCACACGGCCAGACCTCTGGATGCCATGCCCCAGGCTACGTTGGCCCAGGCAAGAATCGAACCCTGTCTTCCCAAGGCCCACAGATGCAACGGGCTCTTGGCCCTATGGCTGCACTGACCAGCCTGAAGGAAGCCTCTCCATCCCTTCACCTTCGCCACATGCCTGCTCTCCTCCACTCCCTATTCGGACAACATCAAGGTGAATGGGTTTCACATGAAAAGAAGAATTGGGGCCAGCAGGTGGCATGGTGGTTAAGGCACTGAGCTCCTACATGGCCGATGGCGGTTCAAGCCCCAGACCTGAAAGCTCACACTGGGCACACGTGTATGTGTCTGCCCACAATCCCAGGAGAACAGAGATGGAGTTGCAGAGCAGCCACCCCCTGGGGGTGATTTCCCACCATCTCTGTCTCTTTCCAGTGAGCACACACACCCTGTGGCAAAAATATTAAAAAAAAAAAAAAGAAAGAAAGAAAGAAAAAGGTAAAAAGGACAAGCCTGGGTGACTCGACGTGTGGCCCCCTCGCAGGGCACTCTGGCAGAGGGAAGCCACATGGACAAGGGGCCTCCATGCTAGCTCCCAAGGACAGCGGGCAAAAGAACGAGGGGACAGAGGCCCGCCCGTCTTCCACTAAGGCCAGCAGGGCTGTGTCTGTAAGAGCCTTCTCTCTCGCCGCCCTGCCCTCTCTTACTCTGGGGGCCCTCGCCCTCGTCCTCGTCCTCTTCCTCGTCCTCGCCCTCGTCGTCACGGTACTGAACGGGGCCCTCAGAGTCAGAGTCGCTCTCCTTCTCTGCTCTCTCCTGTAGGCGCTGCGGCAGCGGAGTGGCTGAGGTAGGCATGTCTTCTCTGAGTGCAGGCGGGCAGGTCGGCTCCTCCTCATCTTCATCATCTGGACTAACAAATTTACATAATTATGTTTTCCTTTTGTAACAAAAAGGTAAAGCGATTTGCAAGATAAAGGTTAAAAACACTATGGGAAGTTCCCCAAGTAAGTAGGTTAGATTTTGCTCCCTCGACTTAAACAATCTTGCTAAGAAACTCTCCTGCAGATACCAACGTAAAGGGCTCTGGGTTCGGACCTCAGCCCTGGCACGCGTGAAGCGCTGATCACACGGAGCCCACGTGGCTCCTGTGGACAGACAGTTGAGGAACCGACTCTGCCAAAGCTCAGAGCGGCAGGTGGGATCGAACTCCAGGGCCACCTCACTCTGAGGCAAACTCTTCTCAAGTTTATTCATTTAGTTCTGCGAGAGCAGCAGCGATATCCTGGCAGGTTTCCACACCATGACGTGCCTGGTCTCAGCCGGCCCACTTGCAGAGGGGCATGTGCTGAGAGGCCCGGGATGTGCCCCCAGGCCTGCCCTGTGTGGCCCTGGCACGGCACCACTGACCATGGTCTGGCCCCATTTCTTTTCTTTTTCCTCTTGATTTTATTTATTCATGCAGTTACTTAAATTTGACCAGAGACAGAGAGAGAGGGAATGTGAGAAAGCAAGACACCAGGTCCAGGACTCGAACTCTGGTCAGTCATGTAGGAGTGTCCAGCACCAGGGGCCAGCAGTTAGTGTAATGGCTATGTCACTGGGCTCCCACATAGTCGACCACGGTTTGCATCCCAGACCCGGTGGCTTAAAACTTACGCTGGGCGCGTGTGCGTGCATGTGCATGCCCAAGATCCCGAGAGGAGAATGGAGGAGAAGGGATTGCGGCGTGGCCATCCCCCCTGGGGGGTGATTTCTCGCTTTCTGTCTCTGTCTGTCTGGCGCGCACATGCGTCCTATAGCAAAAACCTCTCCAAAAAAAAAAAAAAAAAGGAGGGTCTAGCACCTTAACCACCATGCCACCTGCTGGTTCCCAGCCCGGCCTCACTTCACGTCTGTGCGTTTCTCAAGCTGATGGACACTGGACTTGAACTGAAGTCAGCTGCGAGGGATCCAGCCACCTAGACCACCACGCACGGGCTGCCAAGGCAAACCCCCTTAAGTGACATGTTGCACACTGCCTCCATGCGTCATAAAACAAGGTCCCAGTCCTGGGAGTGGCATTCTCAGTCTAGAGACCGTGGGCACGGTGGCTTTGGCGGTGGAGGACAGAAGCATGACAGGAGGCGGTTGAGAGACCGTGAAAGATCTAGGCGATTCTGAGTCATGCCATTTTACCGTATGTCTGCTGGAAAGTGCTATAGTTGATGACTGAACCAGTTCATAATGGAATTTCTTTTTTTTTTTTCTTTTTTTTTTGGAGAGGTTTTTGCTATAGGGCACGTGCGCTCGCCAGACAGACAGAGACAGAGAGACAGAAAGCGAGAAATCACCCCCAGGGGGGATGGCCACGCTGCAATCCCTTCTCCTCCATTCTCCTCTCGGGATCTTGGGCACGCACGCACACACGCCTGGCATGAGTTTAAGCCACTGGGTCCGGGACTCGAACCGCGGTCGACTACGTGGGCGTCCAGCGACATAGCCATTACGCTAACTGCTGGTTCCCTGGGATTTCTTTAAAAAAAAAAAAAAAGATGGGTTTCTGAATAAAATTTGTGCAGTAATACAGTAAAATAAATAAATAAATAGGTAGGTAGAGAGATAGACAGACAGAGAGGTAGGTAGGTAGATAGGTAGGTAGGGAGGTAGGTAGAGAGATAGAGAGATAAGTAGGTAGGTAGAGAGATAGAGAGATAGGTAGGTAGGTAGAGAGATAGAGAGATAGGTAGGTAGGTAGAGAGATAGAGAGATAGGTAGGTAGGTAGAGAGATAGAGAGATAGGTAGGTAGGTAGAGAGATAGAGAGATAGGTAGGTAGGTAGAGAGATAGAGAGATAAGTAGGTAGGTAGAGAGATAGAGAGATAGGTAGGTAGGTAGAGAGATAGAGAGATAAGTAGGTAGGTAGAGAGATAGAGAGATAGGTAGGTAGGTAGAGAGATAGAGAGATAAGTAGGTAGGTAGAGAGATAGAGAGATAGGTAGGTAGGTAGAGAGATAGAGAGATAAGTAGGTAGGTAGAGAGATAGAGAGGTAGGTAGGTAGGTAGGTAGGTAGATAGACAGATAGATAGATAGAGGCTTAATTTCCATGCCCTTAAGTGTGGGATTTGTGTCTCTTACACGGACACAATGGAGCCCAGTGTGAGGGCGTGGTGGCGGGGTGCCACTGCACACCACTGGGGCCACGTCGGAGGCCCAGGCTTGGCTCCCAGATTGACTGCAACATGCTGGTGGCCACGCCCAGGTGCACCTGGGATCCCGGCTTGCTGGGAGTATACTGAGACCGCACAAGATGGCCCCGTCAAGGGAAGCTGGCTCTCCCCTCCCCTCCACTTTCTCGTGAAAAACAGAAAAATTAACTTTAAAAAAAGTTAGAGGGCCAGCAGGTGGTGTGGAGGTTAAGGTGCTGGACTCCTACACGGTTGATCACAGTTCAAGCCCTGGACCTGGCAGCTTGAAAATCATGCCAGGCGTGCGTGCGTGCGTGTGCATGTGCGTGTGTGCCCAAAATCCAGAGAGGAGAATGGATTGTGGTGTGGCCACTCTCCACCCCGAATGGTTCGTCACTCTCCTCTGTCTCTCTCCAGCCAGTGCATGCACCCTATGGCAAAAACCTGAAGGGAAAGAAAAAGAGAGCTACAGAAAAGGGCAGGGCACCAGACGCGCGACCCAACTAACCCTCAGGGGCATTTTTCTCTTTTTTCCCCCATAGGCTTTTGCCATAGGATGTACATGAGAGACAGAGAGGGAAAGCGAGAAGTCACCCCGAGGGGATGGGCACGCCACAACCCCTTCTCCTCCATTCTCCTCGCGGGATCTTGGGTGCGCGCACACACACACACACACACACGCACACGCACACACACGTGCACACACACACACACACACACACTCTCTCTTGGTGTGATTTTCAAGCCGCTGGGTCTGGACTTGAACTGTGGTCAGTCATGTGGGAGTCCAGGGATGTAACCACTGCGCCATCTGCCGGCCCCAGCAGAATAGTCTTGGTACTTTAATTTTTTTGTTGTTGGAGAGGTTTTTGCTATACGGCGTGTGCACTCGCCAGAAAGACAGAGAAAGCAAGAAATCACCCCCCGAGGGGGATGGCCACACTGCAATCCCTTCTCCTCTCGGGATCTGGGCACGCATGCACATGCGCCCAAGGGGTCAGGGACTACATGGGAGTCTGGTGACGTAGGCATTATGCCATCCACTGGTCCCTGTATTTTAATTTTAATTCATACTTCCTCTTCATTAGCAGTTTTTCCAGGAAAGACTACTAAGATATAGATAGACCCAGAGAAGCTTTAAAGGCACTCACACTTTGAGCATCTCGATGGTGACGGGAAGTGACCGGGTCCGGCCCAGGGCACTGCTGTCCTCAGGAAAGGAGAAGCTGTTCTCGAAGAGCAGAGAGTGCGCTCTGTGAGCGCTTCCCAGGGGCGGGGCTGTGGGCTGCGGACTGGCCAGGGCCTGCTGGATTCGAACATGCAGTGGGGGCAGGGGCAGCCTGCCGACAGTGGGGAACTCCCCAGAGCTCTGGTCCGCGGCCTTCCTGGGGCCTCCCTTTTCCTGATCTTCCTGCTGGGGGCCCTCTTGGGGCAGATCTAAGGAAGGTGGAAACTCAATTTCTGGCCCAGCTTGGAAAGTCTCAGCTGGGCGTGGAGGAGCCCACGGGGGCTCTGGGGGCACGTGAGCAGGCAGTGGTGGGGACGGGGAGGGAGGCGGGGTGGTGGGCAGAGGCTCTGAGCCCACGGGGCGGGCGCTCCTCTCTCTGTGGTCACTCGGTGCCCTCGACGTGGCAGCAGCAGACTCCGAGGTGTGCAGCGAAGCAGAAGGAACACCCCTCTTGGGCGGCAAGGGTGGGGATGGCTTTGACAGGGGCATGCGGCTGCTCACTGCCTGGGACAGCTCGGCTGGAAAGAGGGCAACAGCTCCACTTAACACGGCTTCTCAGTACCCCGGGGCGGCCCTGGCTGCACAATCAGAGCCAAGCTCAGGCTCAGTCTTTCAAACCAATCTATAAATTTCCAGCTTTGCTGTCCCTACACCGCTCATCCCGGAACAAACCTAGACGCTTCGAGAACGGCTTAAAGAGCAGGTGGAGGTTCGGGAAGACAGGCTTCCTACACGCTGCTCTAACGGCACTCCACGATTTTCTACCTTGGTCCGGGCGTGGAGGAGATGGGTGTGGACAGAGACAGTAGAGGCCGCTAAGGAGCTCTTTTGTGCCCCAGTACCCCCTCAGGAAACGCCAATACACAGACGGAGTGGAGCCCCGCTCTACGGGCACCGCCACCCCACCTGGATAAATACTGGTACCCAGGACCAGCAGGTGGCGTGGTGGCTAAGGTACTAGATTCTCACATGGCTGAATACGGTTCGAGTCCTGGACCTAGCAGCAGCACACACGAGTGACTCCCCCCTCTTCATCTCTTTGGGGAGCACATACACCCTATAACAAAACCCTAAAAAATGTTTCTGGTACAGATCTCCGCTGAGCACTACGAAAGTACCGATAACAACAGCTTGGGTTCTAGCAGCAAACGCAAGGCCTGAGAAGAAACCCAAGTGCTTTTCTGCCCTGGCTGGCAGTCTCCCTGCGCTGCAAGCTGGGTGGCTCGCCCTCAACTGTACTGCAAGCCGGCGGGTTGGGGTCCCCAGTTGGCAAGCCATTACAGGGCCTCGGGACCCTGATGTCAGGGCCATGAGCATCTGCCCCACTGTCCTCTTTGTTCCAGCCTCCTGGGTCTGCCTGTGGAAGGCCGAGCACCCTGGGTGGCCTGCAGGGCCAAGGGGCTGCACACAGCCCTGCTCCACGTGGGCCAGTATGTCTGTGTGAGGGGCATACTCATTCTGTCCCCAACACAGCTCACCGCCAGTTCCCCAGAGCCTACCGCGACTCAGCAAAGTCCCTTCAAAGGACTCTAAACACCAAACTGGAAGGATGCAACACCACAAGGAGGGGATCGCCACGCTGGGCAGGAGGGGATTGTCACGGCGGGCAGGAGGGGGGTGGTGCGGGGG